CTCTGAAATAAATACAAATAAATTAAAAAAAATTTTAAATGAAATAAAATTAAGGCCAGGACTGAAGCATATGGATTTCTGAGTGCTGTGTTTGCACCCTTCAGGGTCAGTGGTGTATATTTCTCAGCTGTACATGACTTGGTAGGTTGGAAGTATAGGGACATCTTCGAAACTGTGAAGCAGACCACATTGAAAGGAACTTCTGTTAAGACCCAGATGCTGATCCAGGTTCTGAGATGGGGCCTGTTTCCACATGTGTAACAAGCTCACTTTTTACTTGTGATGCCAATGTTTCTGCATCATGTGCCATAATTCTGAATACACAGTAAAAAAAGGAAAAAATTCATACAGAACTTGGAACTAAAAGGGTTTGTTCATAGAGTACAGTCACATCCATATACAATTTCCGCTGACCTGGATCCAGGCATTCCCACTCCTCCTGAGAGAAATCTATGGCCACATCCCTAAAGGTCAATGGTTCCTGAAAGAAAAACACATTTACCAAGAGGTCACCAGAAGAGTTCATAATGTCACCCAACATGAAAAGTGTTTAGGGAGAAGTGGTTTGGACCTAGGGGAATATCTTGAATCATCCAATAAGATCACTTTGCCCTAATAAGATACTCTGATGTGTTTTCTAACACTGACAAATGAGGATGGCCCATGTCCACTAACCCACGGTACAGATTTTACTTTAGAGGAAAATGAACTTTAAAATTAAGGCATCGTCCTAGCCAGTCTGGCTCAATGGATAGACTCTTGGCCTGCTCACTAGGAACTGCACTGAATGGATAAAATGACTTCAGAGTCACAGGTTTGATACTGGTCAAGGACACATGTCTGGGTTGCAGGCTTCATCCCCAGTAGGGGGTGTGCAGGAGGCAGGCAAGTAATGATTCTCTCTCATCATTCATGTTTCTCTCTCTCTCTCTCTCTCTCTCTCTCTCTCCCGTCCTCTCTGAAATAAATACAAATATATTAAAAAAAATTTTAAATGAAATAAAATTAAGGCCAGGACTCAGGCATATGAATTTCTGAGTGCTGTGTTTGCATCCTTCAGGGTCAGTGGTGTATATTTCTCAGCTGTACATGACTTGGTAGGTTGGAAGTATAGGGACATCTTCACAACTGTAAAGCAGACCACACTGAAAGGAACTTCTGTAAAGACACAGATTGTGATCTAGGTACTGAGATGGGGCCTGTGTTTACACATGTGTAACAAGCTCACTTTTTACTTGTGATGCCAATGTTTCTGCATCATGTGCCATAATTCTGAATACACAGTAAAAAAAGGAAAAAATTCATACAGAACTTGGAACTAAAAGGGTTTGTTCATAGAGTACAGTTCTCATCGAATATGACACATAGGAATCACAATCCTAGTTGGAAATTTACTATGAGTAATCTTACAACAAGATTATCCCTGCCTGCTCCAGTTGGTGTGGCCCGGTGGTTGAGGGCCGACCCACGCACCAAGAAGTCACTGGTTTGATATCCGGTCTAGACACATGACCAAGTTGTGGGCTCGATCCTCAGTGTGGGCTGTGCTAGAAGCAGCTAATCAATGATTCTCTCTCATCACTGATGTTTCGATCTCTCTCTATCTCTCCCTTCCTCTCTGAAATTCATAAAAATGTACTTGAGGGGAAAAAAAGAAAAAGTAGCTGACATAATGTCAACAGTTTAGGAACAGAGACACACACGGAAGGACAGGTCACCCCTGCTGACATGACTGGCAAAAATATATCAAAAAAGAAATAATTATGTGGAAATGATTACAATTAAACATTAATTTTTGCAAATGTCAACCCACGTGTACCTCATGTTCTATAAGCTAATGGAACATTTAAATAGCAAGTACTTCATACTAATCTAGTGATCAAGTCTCTTCTGTTTACTCTGCTTTCAGACCTTTGAGCTATTCTGAGCAGTAAGATGTGCCTCATCTTTTTTTTTTTTAATAGTATATTTTTTATTGATTTCAAAGAGAAGGGAGAGGGAGACATAGAAACATCAATGATGAGAGCATCATTGATCGGCTGCCTCCTGCACGTCCCTTACTAGGGATCGAGCCTGCAAACCGAGCATGTGTCCTTGACCAAAACTGAACCAGGGACCTTCCAGTCTGCAGTCCAACACTCTATCCATTGAGCCAAACCAGCTAGGGCATGTGTGCATCTTCTTACCTCCCATCTAGAGCTGATGCTACAGCCACTTGAACCTAACACCGACACTTGCCTTCTTCACTGATACCTGAGCCTCTGACCCCGTCCCAGTAGGGATGTTAGACATGGCTGCCTTCCAAGTTTGATCTGTCACAAAAGGGATGTTTTCAGTAGTTGAAAGTCACTAATTAAAGGTAGGAATGCTTCCTGACCTGGGGAGGCTGCATGAAATGAATGCAGAGAAGGCTCTGGGAAAAAGGAGAGGATTATAGTCTGGCCAGTGTGGCTGACATGTAGAGGGCTGACCTATGAACCAGAAGGGCAGGGCTGGATTCCAGGTCAGGGCATACTGCAGGTTTCGGACTGGGTCCCCAATGGGGGGTTTGCAGGAGGCAGCTGATCAATGATTCTCTCTCCTGATTGATATTTCTACCTCTCTCTCCCTCTCATTCCAATTCTGAATTCAATAAAAAAATATTTTTCAAAGGAGAGGGAGAAAAAAAGAGAAAGATAACTATAATAACTGCTGACATTGACTATGATAAAAACAAACAAACACAAAAGTAAGTAGCCCTGGCTGGTTTGGCTCAGTGGATAGAGCACTGGCATGTGGACTGCAGGGTTCTGGGTTCGATTCCAGTCAAGGGCATGTACCTTGGTTTCGGACACATCTCCAGTAAGTGGTGTGCAGGAGGCAGCTGATCGATGTTTCTCTGTCATGGATGTTTCTAACTCTCTGTCCCTCTCCCTTCCTCTCTGTGAAAAACCAATAAAATATATTTTAAAAAAAAGTAATGAGCCCTAGCCAGTTTGTGTCAGTGGACAGAGCTTCTGCCTTCAGATTGAAGGGGTCCCAGCTTCGATTCGGTCAAGGGCACATGACCGGGTTGTGGGCTCCATCCTCAGTGGGAGGCAAGCAGGAGGTAGCCAATCAATGATGCTTTCTCATCACTGATGTTTCTATCTCTCTCTCCCTCTTCCTTCTTCTCTGCAATAAATAAAAATATCTTTAAAAATGTAATGAGATAAGGAAAACCACCTGCAAAGATAAGAACAATACCCTTTGAGGATTTCTCTATTTCCCATCAGAAGTAGACATATAAATCACCCGATGTTAGATAGCCTGTGACCCAGGACACATGTTTTACCTGAGAAGCAGCCATTTGGTCCTGGTCCTGATCAGGGTCTGGGATGTTTTCTCAGGTGACAATACGTTGAGGAGTCACAGACTGTGCCTTCAAAGACGTCAGCTCAGCGTCTCAATCAGCTCATCTCACACTCACAGTCAGAAGAACCTGGAAATGAGGAAAAGGCCACCCCTCCTGTCCTTGGTCACAGGAGAGAGTGAGGAACAATGAGCTTCTACATGGAGACCACACTGTGTGTCTTCATGTGCCTCTCCTCCCAAAGACATCCACAAACTCCTACAGAAATGAGGTGAGCTGCTGTCCTGACCCCACAAACCAAACAGAGCACCCCCTTACTCCCCCGAACAAAGCCTGCTCCCCACTCTCACAAAGGCATCCTGTAACCCTCATGCTAATCTCTGTCTCACCTTCCATCACCTGGAGGCCCTCAGTAACCAATGATTCCCCACCCAGAGCAGCTGTCCAACTCCATGGGGGAAAGTGCCCCTGAGGGTATTTCTTAAAGCTCCTCAGGGGATCTGAGAAGACACGGAGGATTTATCTCAGGATGTTTTTAAATAATAAATTGTCAGACATAGAAAAAGTAAATCTATGGAAGAAACAAACACAAAACACCACAGCAACAAACCTAAGGCTCTAATATTCCTTGAAAGAAGCACCAGATGGTGGCAGACACAGGTCACCTCCACATTGCCATCCCAGGAAATGGGCACCCATGACCAACAGACAAGTCTCTCACTTCTGAGTGAATAAAAGTTGCAAATGGAAGCAAAGTATTATAAAACTAGTGGCCTGGTGCATTAAATTCATGCAGGGGGGGTTGGGGGTATGTGTCCCTCAGTCTGGCCTGCACCCTCACTGATCTGGGACCCCTCGGGGGATGTCCGTCTGCCAGTTTAGGTTCGATCCCTGTGGCAGTCGGAGATCCCTCTTGCAATCCAGGACCGCTGGCTCTTAACCACTCACCTTCCTGCCTGCCTGGAAAGTGCCTCCCCTTCCAGCCTGCTCCCCCCCAGCTCCCCACCTGGAAGGTGGCAGGTGCTGATTAGGGGAGGAGGGCATGATTGTTTCCTGGAACTGTAGTTAGGGAAGCTTTGAGGAGGGTTCCACAGGCCTCAGAGGGGCGGGCTCTGGCCAGCAGCCCTGTAGAGGTGTTCTGGCACGGGGCAGGGCGTTAGGGGGGCGCTAGGGGGCCGAAGGGGGAGTAACTGTCAAACCTTCGCACCTGGAGCCTGTTAATCATTGTCACTTGCTGTACTCCGTTGTTATTTGTGGTTCTCCCCAAATAAAAGCCATGAGGGCTTTGGGGGCACTGCTACACGCCTGAGCGAGCGGGAGCCCTCTGCTCTACTTCCTCCTACAGGCCAAGCTTGCCTCAGTGTCTCCGTTCACAAAGAACAACAACACACTTCAGCTGCAGCGATGGCACTGCTGGTGCGGGGAGCAGGACAGAGTGCAGCCCGCACCTCTGACTCCCGTCAGGATCGCCCACAACAATGGCACCTTAGCGACCACCCGTCAGTGCCCCTGAGGCACCCAGGGTCCCTCTGCGCCCACAAAGCCCCTCCCTGCGGGCAGGTCA